TGATAAAAATATAATTTTTTCTCACAAAGTATCATATTAAAAATACTATATAAATAAAAATTCAAATCAATATTTTATTGCAAATCAATTTTAAACTACAATCAAACAAAAAAAAAATTATTTTTTTTTCAATTTAAATTATATACAGAGATAGAAAAGTAATTACTCTTGCTCCATCTCTAAAACCATATTTATATATTTTAGGGTTTAGGGTTTAGGGGGTTGGATTTATGACCGTGAAATCATGGGTTCAAACCTCGGACGCCTCAGGTCACCTGTCATACATGGTTTGCTTAGTGTGACTTACCTGTCAGACCAAGTTTGCAGGGTATTAGGTTCAACCAGAGGTTTACCCAATAGGCACTTTCGGGTCGCGATTGTGGGTTCCCACGTCATAAATATATATATATATATTGAAAACTTATGACATTGTGGTGTGGTAGTGGATTCGTGACCGCGAGGTTATGGGTTTATCCCTAATTTGCAGGTATTAGGTTCGATCAATTTTTTTTAAAAAAATTGAAGTTAGAATTATTATTTAGTTGAAATTTATGGCTTGATTCGAATTTTCTTGAATTGAAAATTTTGAGATTGTATTTGATTGTAAATTGAATTTATAATAATAATTAGTGGCAAAGCCACATTTGAGAGAGTGGAGTCACAAAACCTAACTTGAATTTATATATATTAATTATTTAATTTATTTTATATTCAAATGACAAACTCGTCAAATTTTATAATTATTCCAAAGAGCCATTTAAATTTTTTAAAGAATAATTACGTATATAATTCAAATAGTAATCTCCTTCACTCTATTCTATTTTGCATTCAAATAGCAATAGACACAAAACATATCTATTGTTGACGATTTCTTCAAATCTTCTTTATTTTGACCGCAACTCTACAAGCCAAACATAAATTTCTTTTTCAATTTTCACTACAAATTATAATGTAATTAAATATTTTTAATGTATAAAAATATGTAAGGAATAATTATAATTTTTATATTTTATTATCAAATTGTGCATCCACTTAAAAAACAGGATCGATCCGCCACTAATGATTATGTATTTGTGCGCGAGTTGAAGTAAAAAAAATTATTTGGTGTGATAAAAAAAAGTTACAGGTGAGAAATTATTTTTATTTACATATTGTACATTTAAGTGAGTCATAGGTAGAGCCACAGAAAAATAATTGTGCGCACACCAGCATTAGGATGTCAAGAATATATATGTTTGTTAATATTGATTGAAAAACGTGCACAAGCCCTAGATGCGGCAACAATTCCTCCACTATCACAATGAAAACCTTACGTGTTTCAATAACCATGCCTTAAAATTCAATATAAAATAATTAGACATGAGGTATGTTTATTCAAATAAGTTGTAACTTTTTACTGTTGAAAGTGAAGCTACATTTATTTCTAGATTTTGGTTGATGTTGCTTGTAGGTGGTCCGAACAACGTATGGATGCAAGTATACAGTTGTGGCCCATTTAACCTCAATTCAAATCTTAATAAGTGATCTATTTTGTTGCGACCCAAATTGATCAATCCGACGAGGACCTAGAAAGAAACACCGAGAACCGTCTTTGGTCCCTAGGTCGGCCTATGTGGAAGGCCACGAAGTTGTAACCAATTATGCTAAGGTGTGGAGAATGAGTGAGGTAGTTAAAGGACTTGATTGAGCTGATTGTAGTAGGGGTTGTGGAAAATAGCAGGGAGACTAGTGACAGGAGATGGTGAATGAGTTGTAAGGGTTGTATTAGTGAATGTAAGAGCTAAGAAATCCTTAACGGGCAAGTGATTGGGATTCATGAAGGCTAGGATTCGCATAAAAACCCTGTGAACTCAATTTGTTCATCTTTGAATTTGATTATCTGGATTGGTACCCTCCATATGTAGGTTATTCACTGTTAACAATTTTTATGTGTCTCGTTTATCTATTTACAATGTGCATGTGTTGTTTGATACTTTAACGAACTATGTAATTCGGGGTGTATTCAAATTTTTATTGGTTACTGTTGGGATTGTTTAATTGTTACTGATCATTTAAAGAATTTGAGACCAACAATTGGTATCAGAGTGGGTTTCTGGCGTTTCTATGGATTGATCCATAGTAATGGCAGCAAAAAGAAGATAGTTTGATCTCAAAGCCACTATTACTAGATGAAGAAAACTACTAATATTGGAAGATGAAGATGAAATACTTCATCATGTAGATCAGTGAAGAGGCTTGGGGATTCAGTGATGGATGAATGGTCTCCTACACAGAAAGCCATCATGCTTGAGCGAACGGAAAAATGAGGAGTGATCAAATTCTAACCACAATGGTAAAGAATCCTAGGACACAATATAATCCAAAGGAAATGATACAATGTAATGCTCTCAATGCTATCATCAATGGAGTTGATCGGTCTGTTTCAGATCATATCAATATGTACTACCGCAAAGGTTGTATAGGATGTTTTTCTTGCCACATTTGAAGGAGCTAACAATGTGAGGTTATCCAAATTCCAAATGGTTATGAATTCGATAATCTACTTATGAAATAAAGATGAATCAATTTGATTATGCAATAGATTTAAAGTTGTTGTGGATCAAGCTCATATGTTAGGGCTAGTGTATAATGCGAACTATCTCAGAAAATTTTCTTCAAATGGAAGATTGAATTTACCTTTAAGGATGCAATTTCAAGGAGATGCATCGAAAAATTTATAGCATCAAAGAAACCTATAATTCCAAATGACATAATATACTATGGGTGCAGTGGTTATAGACTTATGGGTACATTTGATTTAAGTGTGCAATGGCAAAAAAGAATAATAAGAAAGCTATGAGAATTACTTGGAGCGATGAAGAAACCGAACCTCATAAGTCTTCTCAAGAAAAATAGGAAGAAAACGAGGAAGACAAAGTGGTTTTATTCACTGTGCAAGACATAAGAAATTTAAAGAAAATGATATGCTAATATTACATAAATGAGTTGTCATTGAAAAGTATGAAATGATTCTTGCCGAGCAAAAGGTATTTAATTCTCAAAATGAAAACTCAGAGCATATATGAGCCGGTTCGAAATGAAGAATGAAACGCTGATCTAAGTTAATGAAAAGCTCACTACTAAGATGATGACTTAATGAATAATATGAGCAGTAAGAGAAAATCCACAAGCCGAAAAGTGAAAATAAGAAGCTATTGGATTTAAAATAGTTGTCGCTTTGTAAAAGAAAAGTAGAAACTTGATAAAGTATTGAACCTAGAAAAATCATATGACAATCACAATAGAATAATACGCTACACTCGTAGCACTTGAACATCTTGAACTACCTTCATTAACAATGGAATTCTCACATAACTATTTTTACATGGTATTTTTGAGAATCTGAGTTTGAAATCAAAAGAGCATGAAAAAGCAAAAAAAAGTTTGAAGAAGGCAACAACCAACATGTGTGTATTGCAAACTACCACGATAGCGCGATCAAAGTGTGATTGGATTGTTCAAGGAGAATGTACTAGCCCTCAAAAGCCTTGAAGAACAAAATAATAGTAAATTATAGTAAACACCAAAAAGAAAACAAACAACATGTTTCATTACCTTATCATCTCAAAACGTAGGAAAACAAAATAATAGTAAATTATAGTAAACACCAAAAAGAAAACAAACAACATGTTTCATTACCTTATCATCTCAAAACGTAGGAAAAGGTAAAAACATAGTATTTCGATGACAAATATTCAAGATACATGATACATCATAAGGAAATTCTCTCATATTATTACGATGGAGAGTGGGGACATATGTTATGTTTGAAGATGATAAATGAAAATTTTCAAGCTATAGAGAACTAAAATTTGATGGACTATTGAAATTTATGGAATGTTTGGTATAGAGAAATAGGAACAGATAGATTGAAATATCTCAATTTTTCTTATTCAATTAAGACAAAAAATTAAAAGTTGAGAAATAAATTATTTCTTATTTCTTAATTTCATTTCTATCATGTATGCAAAAAAAGGAGAAAAATGAAATAGCAATAGTTCAGTATATTTATTTATTTTACTTCTTTTACATTTAACTTCTACGATTTAATTTGTATTTATTTGTTATTTTTTTAATATTATTTATTATTTTATAATTTTTATATTATACAAATCTCATGAAATATCATATTTAATTTATTATTAAAACAAATTATCAAATTAAAAATATAACTAAAAAATACAATGATATTTTTTTTTATCTAATTTATTACTTTTTAGTAAGTGATTTTCTTTCTCTTTGTTTTTTTTTTTTTTTTTTTTTTGATATAGAGTATTATTTTTTATGCTTTTTATTTTTTATTTTTTTCAACTTAATTCTCTATTTTACAAAACAATATAACATCATTATATATTCAATTCGTTTTCTCTACAATTTCATTTTCTACTATCAATTTTTTTTGTATGTCCACAAAACAAAATAAAATAAAATAAAAATACATTTCATTAAGAAAAAATTAAAAAATTAAAAAAAACAATCTTGTATATTAGTACTTCATTAAAAACTCTTGTCGAATTCAAATAACCATACAGAGAGAATATTTGTTGTGTTTTTTTGTATTTTAATCGTTTTTTACTATTCATATTTTTTTTCCTCTAAAAATATTATATCAAATAATTACTTTTGTTATATTATATTACAAATTTATTTTATATTCAAAATATATCATCCCCAATTTATATTACATTAATCCTCAATTTATATTACATTAAATAACTAATTCAAAATCCAAACCCATAGACAAACACACCCTATATTTTCTCAAAAAATATCACATTATGTTTTCTAACAAGACAAACACACCCTATATTTTCTCAAAAAATATCACATTATGTTTTCTAACAAGACAAACACACCCTATATTTTCTCAAAAAATATCACATTATTTTTTCTAACAAAAATCAAATTGTACTGCTGTTACACAATCTCAACCGAATATCCAAACCAAACTAAAAAGATCATTAAAAACAAAGATAATAATCCCGCAAAGATTCAATCATTGAAACAATCATTCTTGGTGAGGATGCGCAACCGCATTCAACCACTTCTTTACAAGCATAAAATGAATGAACATAATTATGTGTATTAAATATATATATATATATATATTGATTACAATGTGACAAAATAGATCAATCCTTTTTTCTTACTCAAGAACTCCTTTCAGAGGTGTCCTAATAACTATCTAGAGGTGGAAGGGAGCAGGGGGATGACCTTGCCGGGAAAGCTGTCGATTTCTGCAGCCATTTCCTCTGTTTCTCGTCTGCAAAGCATAGCACAGACTCCTCACACGTTTGTTGGGCGCTGGGAGGGCGGACTGGCTCGAACGTCTGTAATTTTGAGTATTCAGTGATCAAATGGTACATGTAGTCATATACACGTGCCATGTTCAAGCTTTCCATGTAATCCTGAGCAGCTTTTCCGATCGCCTCTGCCTGTTTGTGAAAATATCGTTATATTATCACCATTGAAGTATACATATATATATATATATATAAAAATGTTGAAACAAAAGAGGAACACTCGTGCGTGTACCTCAGATGGGTGTGAGTTGCCCCAGTTGACTGTATTTTTTATTGCAGGGCACATCTCCTCTTTAGGAATTGGCCAGAAGTTCTTGTGTGGGATCAGGCCGCGGCTGAAGAAATCTTGGTATTGGGGTGTTATGATCAACGGCATGCACCCACAAGACAATATGTACTTCAAGCTCACCGACCAAGCATATCCTTCAGCATATATTTTGTACCTAAAAAATGAAAATTCTTTGTCTAGTTGAAACCAATAAATGTAAGCAAATCCAATTTCGTTTGATAGTGTCATCCCAGTATAAACATAAAGCATTTATCGAACCAAGTGGGGTAGAATGAACTAATCACTCACCGATAATCACATTGCTTGGATAGTTTAGACTCCCTAAAGCCTTCTCTTGCTTCTGCTAACCAGTCCTATTCACAAACCGGGATTAAGGGCTTTGAAATTGAAAATACACACATTAACATGTACGTACGTACTATTGTTCGGTTATACTCTTAGTGTTTTACTTACAACATACACATGCCATGGATTCTTAGTGGAAATTAGAATGCAATAACAATGGATTCAAGATTTAGCAGAGCTCGAACCTGACGCAGAATAAGTGCATTCCATTGTTCAGTATTGTTACACTCAAGCAATGCTGTACGGACTGGAGAGACAACATCAGGATTCCCTTTCCAGAAAGCTACAGGGAACTTGTTTGCCCAGCTCCGGCGCTTTGAACCTTTCTTGATCTTTCGAAATTCTTCATCCCAAGGCCGTATGTTTATCTCTGACCTGTCTTGAGAAGAAAATTTTAAATAATTGGTAAAATGTGAGGTGCACACACTCCAAGTGTAGTTGTTTTGTGTTGTAGTTGCCCTCTACATCAATTATTTCTTCCTAATCCAATGCTAAAAAGTTGGATAATGCATACTGAAAGTGATGATAGCATATCTTACCATCCCCAGAACGACCAATCCGGGAAGGGAATATCAAAGTGCTCAGAGGTTGTGCAGTATCTAAAGAGGGGGATCGGCATCACAGCATGCTCTGTCACGTTCATCGTAGGTTTGTCCATGCAATCAAACATCAAATCAACATTAGGGATCCTCCCGGGATAACGTCTCAGCAGCTGCAGAAATCCCCACACTGTAAACATTGCCCTGCTTTGGACACACTGGTAGTACAAATCCACATACAAGTTGCCATCAATTATCACAACCCGGAAAGCAGCATACTTCTTCGCCTCCATCAAATGGGCCAGGGTAATCTTGGACTCTGACCACGGCTCCAGGTCACGGTGTATGTTTTTGAACACATCAGGGCACTTGCCAGAAGAAGTCGACTCCTGGACCTTCGGCTGAGCAACATGGCGAGGAGATGGCCCCCGGCAGCTGAGGTAATTGCACCAAAGGATCTTGGAAGCCTTAGAGTACTTGGATTCATCTTCGAAGGATTTCGAAGGGAAAATATGCCATGGAGTTGGTTCCAAGTTATGGCCTACTATCGTCTTGCTTTGCGAGACAAGGTTGTCCAACTGCAGATATATATCAGATTAAACATCGCGGTGAAGGATTATTTTATTCAATCTATGACACATATTTAATCCATATGATAAATGATCGATCAATCGATCGATCTTCCTCCCCGAAATATCACAGTGCAGTCTTTACTACAAACCATTTCATCGCAAACTATTCTACGCTATTTAATCTAAATCCAACACGACATCATCGATTGTCCGATGAGATAAAAACAAACAGAGAGCTCGATTACACAAAACAGAGAGACGGAGAGTGAGGCGACAAAATTAGGGTAAAAAAATTCCAAATAAAACTAAAATTACGCGCAACACAAATAAGTGAAATCTCACTCGATCAGTCAGCCTCCGTTCAATCGATTCAAAGAGTACCAAAATTCCACCCGCATCGTTTAAAATGGTTCTAAATTGCCTATCGATCAGAAAGCGCCATAATCACAAGAACAGAAAAAAGTGATTAATTACCTCAAAGATCAGGACGATGGTGCAGCAACATAACGCGATCGGAACGATGAGACGGGGCAGAAAGAAAGCGGCGGGGCGAGGGTGGGAATGAGAATGGGAATGGGAGTGGCGAGTGGATGTGAAGAGTCCCATTGATGAAGTAGAGAGAGAAAAAGTGAGACATAATGAGGGGGGGTAGAGTGAAAGGAAATTAGGGTTATGAGTAGTTTTCCATCAGTAGTCTCCACATGGACGTCCCTCCACCATTTTCTCTCTCCCGAAACCAATACCCCATCGACATGCTTCGCCCAGCTTTCTCTGTGCCGTCCTTTGCCTTCAATCATTTCTGTGGCACCCCTTCCACCGTTTCCTTATCTTACGCTTCTCAACCTTTACTATTATTATTATTATATTATATTATTATTATTATTATAGCGTTATTATTGTTGAAATTGTTATTTTATGGGCAACTTTTAATAAAATTTATATTTCTTACCAAGTAAATTCTTATTTACTTTGTAAATAAAAGTAAATATCTAACTTTTCACTATTTACTTTTATAATTTTTTTCCTTTTTATTTTTTACTTATTTAAAAAATCATAATACTCTTATTTATTTTCATTAACTCTTTTAATCATCTTCGGAATCTCATACAATTGATTTTTAATTTTATTTTAAATTTATAATGGTGAAGAAAATAAAACCAATTAATAATAAAATCAATTGCCATAAATTTAAAGTAGCACCGGCGACAGAAACAACAATTAAAACTACCACAATATCTGATAATAAAAATTTTCATAGAACTAGAATATGTAATATCTAAATTATACAAATATGTTTATTTATAAATTTCATGGTGTTAGTTTTTTTTTTTTTTAACCTAATTGTTAGATTATTTATTTTGGTTACGTAATAAATAACTAAATTTTATAACAATGTAACTATTGTCTTTTTAATTTATTGGGAGTATTGTATTTTATTTGTTATCGGTATTTGTGATATTTAACTCATTATGTTTTGATTAGAAAAATACAAATTTTTTTTTTTATTTTAGAAAACATGTGTTCTTTCTCATATGAAAAATACAAAAAGTATCATAACTTCATTTCAATTCAATGAAATTCATCATTGCGGTGGTATTTTTGTTAGACAACCTTTTATAATTTTATCTGTGTTTATTATCGATATAAACTTATAAATTTTAGTTCATCTATTAAATTTATGGGACAATAGTAAAAGATAATAATCAAGTTATCAATAATATATTTGAAGTAAAAAATATGTGGTGTTCAATCTTAAAAGCATCTCTCACAATAAATCATTTGATTCAATTCAAATATGAAAATAATTCTTAAAAATTACCTGATACACTTAAATCACAATGAAATATTTATAAAAAATATTGATTTCAACGGAATAAAATTTGTGTAAGATGAAAAATAGATATTTCAAATATAAGTATTTATTGTTTTACAATACAATATTAACTTTCAATTCGAAAAACATAAAACTTTATTTTAAAAAGAATGTTTTTCTAATATGAAAAATACAAACGAGATTATAAAAGTATTGAATGTTCAACGATAGAGTATTAAAAATAAATTCAAAAAGTACAGTATTTTATTTTAAAAAGTATCTTTTTCACATATGAGAAGTAATTATGACACCATAATCTTTTTTTCAGCTTGATGCAATTTATCATTGCAATGTTATATTTTTTGACGCAATCCATATAATTTTATTTGTGTTTACTGTCGATGTTGCTTACAAATTTCATTAATCAATTGAGATTTATTGTACAATAGTAGAATATAAGAATAAGTAAACACTAATATCTTTGAAGTAAAAAATATGTTGTGTTCAATCTTTAAAGTATGGTCCGACAATAAGTCAATTGATTTGATACAATAATGAGTAAAATTCTTAAAAAATAACGGCAATACTTAAATCGGAATACAATATATCTATAAAAAATATTGGTTTCGACCAACTAAAATTCATGTAAGACGAAAATATTTATTTCAAATACTTTATAAAAGTACTGGTTGTTCAACAATAAAGTACTAAAAATAATTCGAAAAGTACATAACTTTGTTTTAAAAGATATATTTTTCATTATAACTCTTGTAATTCAAAATGCCTTTTCGACTCGATATAATTCACCATTGTTGTAGTATGCTTTTCAACACAACTCTTATAATTTTATTTGCATTTATTTTCGTTATAAGCTTACAAATTTTAATTTATCCATGAGGTTTATTGCACATAAATAACAAAATATAAAAATCAAGTTAACACTATATTTTTTAAGTAAAAAATATTTGGTGCTCAAACTTGGAAGTATCACATGACAATAATAATAATAATTCTTAAAATAATAATAACAACGCTTAATTCACAATGCAAAATAGTTATAGAAAATATTGGTCTCAATTGACTAAAGTTCGTGTAAGGCAAAAAATAAGTATTTCAAACATGTACCGCCTATTCACCAATAAAGTATAAAAAGTAAATTCGAAAAACACAAAATTTTGTATTAACAAGTACCCTTCTGTCCCAGATAATTTGTTCTTATTTTTTATTTTCGTATTCCCACATAATTTGTCTTTTCTATTTTTGGAAATATAATTATACACTTTAATCACATTTTAAATTTTAAATTTTATAAGTTTTTAATTTTAATTAAACTATTTGATTATCTTAATCTTAGTCTATAATTATTTTTACTAATACACTTTTTAATTACTTATTAATTATATTTTACTTAAATTCTCGTATTTACAGTAATACACCCAAGTTACATGAGACTGAGGGAGTACGTTTTTCGTATTAGACTACAAATGACAACATCACCTCCGTTCAACTCGATGCAATTCACCGTTGCGATGATATATACTTCCGACATAATATTTGTAAATTGATTTGCATTTATTCTCAATATAAATTTAAAAATTTTAATTCATCCCTAGGGTCACATCAGTAGTAGAAGATAAGAATAGAGTGAATACTAATATTTTAAAGTGGGTGTGTGGTGATCCATGTTGAAATCGTCATTCGAAAATAAATCATTTGATTCGATACAATATTGATGAAAATTCTTAAAAAAATAAAGGCAATATTTAAATCATAATGTAAAATATTTATAAAAAAAATTGTTTCAACCGACTAAAGTTTGTATAAGACAAAAAATAAGTATCACAAACACCTTGTAGAAGTATTAGATGCTCTACAAGAAAGTATTAAAAATGAATTTGAAAAGTACGTAATTTTGTTTTAAAAAATATATTTTTCTCATATGAGAAATACAAATATCATAACCTCATTTCGATTTGATGCAATTTATGGTTGTGATTATATATATTTTTTGACATAGCTCTTGTAAGTTTATTTGCGTTTATAGAAAATGCAAATATAACTAATACTCTCAAAACTAAAATTAAGTTTTTTACATAAATGTCAAACATAAATCAACAGTCACTTTTGGTGTTGGTTCAATTTCGATGTGTGATGTTTGTGGGCGATTGTGGTTATGGTGGTTGGTGTTGGTGTTGGTGCTTACATCGTTGGTGGTTGGGGGAGATTTGTTATCGGTTGTCATTTGAAATTAATGCTAAATTAGTTGAGAGAAAATTTTTGAAAACATTAAACTTGTATTTTCATCGGTCGTCGATGAATATTGATACACGCACACAATAAAATTAACAAGATGCAACCACATTGATGAACAAAAGCTTTCTTAGGAAAAATACAATTAATTAAATACGCAGAAGTTCTACTCATTTTTAACTTCAAAAAAAAAAAAAAAAAAAAAAAACTGTTTCTTCCACTATGATAAAAGCTAACTTATTATCTCCACGATATTTAAACTGCAACATCATATTTATCTCCTAAAATAAATACTCCCTCCGTCCCAGAAGAAATGTCTTGTTGGGAGTTGGCACGAAAATTAAGGAATAATAGTATTTAATTGAAAGTGTGTATAAAATAGGATATAAAAGACTATAATGCCCTTGCTTTTTGAAGAATTTAAAAAATAGATTAGAGTAATAATTAGGGGTAGTTTGGAAAAGTAGGAATAATTTTGTTATAAAGTAGGGACCACAGTTACTAAATAAGGAGACAAGACAATTGTTTTGGGACGGACGAAAATGGAAAAACAAGACAACTCTTTTAGGATGGAGGGAGTATAAAAGAAATTACTATCTTGGTTTAATTTCCAACATTGCTTCCCTTAAACCAAGCTCCTCAAAGTTAAACATTCCCAGCATCTTCTCCAACTTCACAAATGTTTCCATCTTCAACGGCTTCGTGAAAATATCTACCACCTGCTCTCTAGATTTGCAAAATTCTAACACAATCTTCCCTTCACGAACTAGCTCACGAATAAAATGATATTTAATATCAATGTGTTTGCTACGACCATGAAATACCGGATTTTTGGATATCTCAATTGCTGACTTGCTATCATAGTAAATTTTTGTTGGGTTGATTTGATTCTGTTGTAACACACTTAAAACACTCCTCAACCATACAACTTGAGTGGCACTATTTGCTACTGCTATATACTCGGCTTCAACAGTAGACAAAGCTACCACATGTTTCTTTGAACTCCAAGAAAATACACCTGAGCCAATGAAAAAAGCATATCCAGAAGTACTCTTTCTTTCAACTGTATCACCTCCCCAATCACTGGCAGTGTAACCATATAACTCAACTTCGTTGTCTCCAGAATAAAAAATTCCATCTGTGCGTGTACCTCCAATATATCTCAAGATCCTTTTAGTTGTCTGCAAGTGTGACTGCCTTGGATTTTCCATCAATCGACTAACCAGTCCAACAGCAAAAGTAATATCTGGTCTGGTAGCTGTCAAGTACCTTAGACTTCCAACCAAACTCTTCAAATATGTGGGATTCACAAAACCACCCGAACCTTCTTTTGTTAGCTTCAGGTTCTCTTCAATGGGGGTCCAAACCGGCTTAGCAACATCCATCTTGAAAAAAAAATATCAGTGGCATATTTCTTTTGAGAAATGAAAATACCATAATCAGATTGGAAAATTTCAAGTCCTAGGAAATATGACATCAACCCCAAATCATTCATTTCAAATTCTTTGATCATAGCCTCCCTAAAATCACAAATCATCTTTGAGTTATTTCTTGTAAAAATCAAATCATCGACATATAACCACACAAAAATAATGTCATTCTTAGAAGAGCACTTCTTGTACAATGTGTGTTCATATGGGCATCATTGAAATCCTCGATCAAGAAAGTATGAATCAATTCTAGAATAACACGCCCTTGGAGCTTGTTTTAAACCGTATAAGGCTCTTTTCAACTTA